CTTTTATTCCTCTCCCATACTATCAGGTTTCTGGCTCGCTCTTAAATTGTTCCCAGATATTGTTAGAAATGAAGTATTTTACAGTGCTGTTGGATTTCCTTAAATCATGAGATCTGTCTCCTGGCTTGTCATACCCCTTGGGAAATTTGTGCCTGTAGGCTGAGAATGACTGTGGTAAATGTGCAGTGCAACTAAAGTTTTCCTATTTTTCTTTCACCTGGGGGAGAAGGGGGAGAGAGGGAAATGGGGAGGGCAGAAGCATCATGTTTTTTGAGAAAGGTTTTTAATATCAACAAATTTGAATGCCACAAATGAGGGGATTTATCAGAAAATGTATTTTTCAATATCTTTGAGTGTCGTCTTTATATTTTCCAGTGCAAATTTCAGAAGTTATTTTAGATGATACTGTTGACTTCTTAACAAAGTGCAGTTTTGTCACTTTTTTACTGTTTCTAATAGTATTGGTTTAGTGTTCTTGTAGTATTGTAGTGCTTCTACACACATTTGTAATATGCCTTCTGTAATACACTGCTGTGTTAGGTTCAGCCGTAACTGCTGATCCGTCTCCATAGCCCTGAATTATTGGGAAAGTAGCTCATGTTTCTTGGTCATAAACAGTTTTCAAAAAGTACTTGCATGCATAAAAGACTAAATCGCTTTAGTAACTCTCAAGCCAAAGTTGTTACTCTCTGGTTGTACCTTGGATGTAGTAAAATCTGGGCAATGTCTGAAATATTTAAAGCCCTATCTGGCATGTGAGGACAATAGTTGGCAAAGACTTCTATGTAGTATAATTTTGATTAGCCTGGAAGGATAGTATGCCTGTAATGACTTCCTGAAATTAAATAGCTACTTAACATAACCTGTGATAGCATGAAGCTTTATAGTGGTCTCTTCAGGGGAGGGGGGGCAAAATCTGAAATCCTTCTATGTAAATCCAGCTTGTGTAGTGAGGGATTTTGGGTTAGCTATGACTATTAAAGCAAGGAGCTAGGAGAATAATTTGCTAAGCTAGGGGCTTCTTTTTCTTTGTATACTTGATATTGTAAATTCTAAAAGTGACAGCATATACAATAACTATTCATTTAGGGAAATCAACTAAAATACCGAAATGGTATCTTCAATTTACAGTATATAAAATAATTTTTGTATATATAATTTTGCATTTTAATTATGTATTAAAAGTGTGAGCTGGTGTATTTTCTGTCTTTTTTTGAAAGTGAGTCCTACGTGTCAGTTTTACATAATTCCATTGATTGAAGCTATACATTAACATGATGTTTTCACACCACGGATGGAAATGCCCTCATGGGGGCAAGGGTGTGATAACATGAGCTTCGTTGAAAGGACAGTATTGACTGTAATAAATTCAAGGTTCACTCACTGCAAGATGTTAGTTTGGCAATTCCCTTGAGATTTTTTTTTGTACTAGTATTTTTGCAGATGCTGGTTTCATAAAGAAATGTTCTAAATATCTCTGATATGAGTAGTTAGTGGTTAGCTTTTATGGAAGATTAATGTAGATTAATCTTCTTAACATTCGTAGGAATAGAAACAAGGCAGTGAAAACTTGTACTGTTGAGGACTGCATGTCAGAAGATGACCTATTAATAGTATAATAGCAGTTTGTACTTCTTATTTTGTCCTTTATAATCTCCTTACCTCATGCTAAAATGGATATTAAATTAGTCTCTATCATGTTGCTATTACAGTAACATTTCTTTGCAGTCTGTGATGAAATAAAATCATTGTGGTGGTTTTTGTTTGTTTGTTATTTTAACTTGGATGTGAATGTTTCTGCCATCTATGTGTTCGTGATCTTCAGTATTGTTACACAATCTCAAACTTGCTTTGATTCTTTAAACTCAGCAGTTTGCACAGATGGGGAAAAAATGAAGTGAACATTGCTCTTGGATCTTCCATCCTTCTTGAATCTGATTCACTATGTTCTTCGAAGATCTGACTTTAGTTTCCTTAACCTCTGAAACACTCAATACAATTACCTAATTTAGTTTAAAGGGTTCTTTATTTTGCATGATTTAACTAGCAGAACCGCTGTGCTTGAAAATAAGACTAATTAAATATTCAGGATGCTTGGAAAATTAGTTCTTGAAATTTGTAGCAGAGTTGTGTCTGTGACATAGCAGAGTTACGAAAAGCTTTGCTCTTGGAGCAAGATGCCAGTCCTTTGTGTCTTAGCACCCTCTGAGAGAAGATGCACATAAAACCAAATCCAGGCACCCCAAAGAACAAATTGAATAAAATCTCATCTCTGCTGAATAAATGTAAGTAAAATAAGTATTTATGTCTGTGTAATTCAGGAAATGCTTGTGTCACGTAGTAGTGCCAGTCTAAGAGCACACATTGGCTTACTTGGGATGCTTATATTAAATTGCTTTATTAGAAAACCAGCATCTTCAGAGAACCCTTTTGAAGTAAATCACAATTACCAGGCAGTTACTGGTTTTGATTTTGTAATTTAATCATTCTGTGTCCAAGTACATCATGTGTCTTTTGCTGCATAGCTGGTTTTAAAGTTACACATTGAATGAAGTATAGAGCTGACTAAGCTGCTTAAGAAGCAATTAGGAAAAACAGGCATGTATATCTAGTAAAGATGATTACTCACACGGTAAGAGAGGTCTTTGACCCAAAGGTTGACAAGTATGTATGGGAGTGAGTTAGCAGAGGGTTGCTGTACATTTGTGATTTCATGGGGGGCTGGAAGAACATTCCACATATGAATCTGTTCATTTGTGAATCAGACTTTTGAACACTAATTTATGCGGATAAGACAAGTGTAGAATTATGATACAGGCCAATGTAAGAACTTCATATTTATTTATTTATTTATTCTTCTGAAGCAAAAATGTTAAAACTTTCAAGTGCAATGCTAAAATCTTGTGATTGACTATGAAGGTATTCATGAAATGTAAAATGATATGTTTCAAAATGAAGAGAGAACTGTTCATGAAACAGTAACTGAATATCCACTCTATTGAGTAATTTGTGCTTTTTGAAAGCCTGATTTACTAGGAGCCAGAAGTGTATGCAGTCACACTTGCGTTCTTTCATTCAGCAGTTGCTCTTGTAAGTAACTTTCTGAAGCTGAAGACAGCTCAAATTTGAGATATTTCAGAATTGTAAAGTTCCTGCATGTTCTGGGAAGAGCATTCATTTGGTACTGGGGTTGCTTCAGCTGTTTATGTAGTAACTGCTGTACCATTGCAAATTAATGTCTGTCATATTGAGGGGGAAAAAATGCTGCTGAATTATGTTAAGCAGCTTGACTGTCTCTGCTGCTACTTCTGCCTCTTGAGTTGAGCTGTCCAGGCTGCAGACAGGGGCTCACAGGCAAGGCTAGGTGGGTAGCTGCAAGCAGAAAAAACTGCTGTTACCACTCAGTAAGCTAGTGCTGCTAGTAATCTTGAACATTACGTTAGAAAATAGAACATTAAAGAGAAAGAAGGAATCTCTATGTTTCAGCTCACAGTGGGTGCCCCTGTTTAGTGTATTGTATTTATAGTAGAAAGCAATGTGGTTTGAATAACAGAGTTTCTATAACTTCTCTATCTTGCTTCTCAGCTTTGTCTAGCTAAATTCTTCCTTGGCTATATCTGATTAAAAATGCATCCTTATATTGAAAAGGACAAGACTTAGTCCTTCTCATGGTCCTACCTAATCTTGGTATTAGGTACGATGCAATTTTAAAGGAACTCTGTTGCTGATCTGATAGGCACGGCTTTGTTACTTGCTACGTACCCTTAAGAGCTTAGAGCATTCAATAAATTGTATAAAGATTCTGATGTTGAAAACTACATAAACTTTAATGGCTCTATGTGTGCATATACCTGTATAAACTTTAACATACTGTTCTGTGTGTGGACACAGTGCAATATGATTAAATGGTAAAGGTTTGGTTTTTATACATCTCTTTCAGTTGTGCTGTCTAGAAAGGTGATAGCCTCAGATTAATTTATTATGCATTATTGAGGTGCTCTGTAAAACATATTCACTAACTAGTCATGATTCTGTTGTAGTATCCACAACAGAGGTGAAAATATTTATTTTTATAAAGATGGGTAGTAACTTGTTTCCTTTCATCTTTTCCATTTTAGCTGTGATCTGGATTAGTCTTAAGGGTGCTGTGGAAATACTTTTTAAGTGGGGATAGAACCTACAAGAAATTAAAGATAATATTCAAAGGATGCTTTAAATTTTTTTTTATTGAAAGATCATGTAAATATTTTGTAGGCTTTTTGGGAGGTTAAGTCTTGAGGGATGAAGGGGGCTGGATGGTAAAAGAAAAAAAAAAGGAAAGAAAAAGGTGTGAAAAGCATAAGTCTCTTCAGTTACATCAAATGCCCACCTTACAAATAATTTGAGAAGAAAGGCTTATCTTGTGTGTTTTCAGTATAAACCCTCCTCTGATTTTTGCAGCCCACTTTCAAGTCATTCATTAATTGATATTTGTCATGTTTTAAGAATTACAATGAAGATGTAATTCTCTGCCCTAAATTGTGTTTTGCAGAACAAATGGATGTCCCCAAAATGAAAATTGATCATTTCCTGTGAAGACAAATTTTTTTTTTTTTTTATATAGGGGTGTCAGAATTGAACTGAACTCCATATTTCGATTTGTATAGATTTCCTTTGTAGTTTCAGCTAGATATAATAATTAAATATATATGTGTATTAAAGTATAAAACTATGAGTTAATTTAAATGTTATTGAAATAGACTATATTTAATCATAATAATAATTTAGTTTGAAATGCTGGACAAAATTATTGTTCAGCAGTTCTCATTGTGTCTAGAGATGGCTTCATTTCAGTGGTGGGTTAAACAACTGTGCTTAAGCTGCTCTCATTTCAGATTGCCATGTAAATATACCGTTTTACTTAGATTTCAAGTTGTTGCACTTATCTGAAAAGAGGAAGTATCATCTTTAAAAATCACAAAATAGAGGAAAAAAATCTCTTACTGTCTCTTTCTTTTTAGAGAGGATCTGACGAACTTCTTTCAGGCAGTGTACTCAATAGCCCGAACTCTAACATGAGCAGCATGGTAGTTACTGGTAAGTGATGCCCTTTCAAAGGAGAAATCTATAATTTATACTTGGACTCATTTCCTTTTTACAAGGGGAGAACACTGAAACAAGAATCTGTCGTGCTATAGAGGGATAAACTGTTGGCATGTATTAGACTATAGTGACCTTATATATACACAAACCTTGGGTATCTGAGAAGAATAATCCCACAAAACAGTAGGCAACTTTGAGATGTCTGCACACTAAATTGTTGGTGAGTGATGGGATGAAAAATTACACTTGTCTTGTACAGCTGCTTTTAAAATAAGGAATCCCAAGTGCCAAGCAAAGGTAAACAGCTTAACTCCTCTGTGGCATCAACTTTTTCACACTTAGACACCTGCAAGTCTGGGCATTACAGGGAAGAGCACTGTGCCAGTTTCGTACTACAGTATGGATTCAGGAGAGCAGAGTTTTCCTCTGTTCTGATTGACTGCTAAAGCAGGAAGCTTCACTTTGCTCCTACAGTTTGAGATTGCAGTGGTGAATGTCAGTGCAAAGTGAGTGTGGTTATTCCTTAATCAAATTTCTGGTGATGCAAGATAGGTTTTTGGCACTTATTAAAATGTCTTCTTTTGCAGTTGATGCTCCTGTATGTTGAATGTGCATTGAATTCCCTTGGAAAGCTTATTTTAGAGGTCTTGCCTTTTTTTTTTTTTTCATCTTGTCAGTTGTTTTTTTGTGTTTGGTTTGTTGGGGTTTTTTTCTGTAGAGATGTGGAGGAATTGATTCATGGTATCAGAGGGTTGCTGGGCTTTCCAATTAGTTGTCTGGTTCACTGCTTTACTGTGCCTTATTTTCTGTATTTATGTTCTGAGCACTGTAATCACTGATTTTAGTAGCAGACTCTTTCCATTTAATCTATTAGTAAGAGATTGGGATTCAGGATGCAATTTCCTGTTATATTTAGGGTGCTGTGGTAGCAGCTGTTGCCAGAATGGGTAGCTCTATGCTTTCTCATCCTACATCCTTAGCACAAGCAGAAAAAAACCTCACCCAACTTCACATGTTTCTGCTATACTCTCTTCTGTTGGAGTGCTAATAAACTTGCAGAATAAACTAATCCAGCATTTAACTATACTAACAAAATGATGTTTTCCCTTGGAGCAGTCATGTGCTTGCACATGGATCAGTCATGTGATTGCACAGTTGATAAACACAGTGCAGTGTTGGGAGGAGGAGGAGAACCACTTCCATTGGCAGGTCTGTAACCAGAGGTGAAAAGGTGATGATACTTTGGAATAGATCAAAAGTGCAGTGTAGTACATTTATAGCCATTTTGAAACACCAGAACATTTGTTTTTCTTTCTTTCTTCTGGTTCTGGAAGAGGTCCCTCTTGTTTTCATTTTCTTGGTGTCCTCTGCAGTCCTGGATATTAATTAGTGCTTCAGCAATTTTCTTAACTCAAATGAGAAACTAGAATGAAAAGGAGTTCAAGTTGTATGTGTAAGAGTTTGGATTTGGGCAGGGGGAGGGAGAGCACTGTTACGAGGACAAAGTTCTAAATATTACATAATTTTCCACATATATTTTCAGAAAAACTTTTAGTTCAGGAAAACTAAATGCAACTTAATTTATCAAAGGAAAAAAAGGCTAAAGGAAAATAATTGAATTATTATAATTTGGAGTTTTCAGAAGAAAAAGTGCAGAAGCTTGTCTAAGCAGCCTTTACATAGAAATTCTTCTCTTTGTGAAAAGTTCTTAAAATGGAAAAGGCTGTTTTGATCTCATGAGGTTAACTTGGGAGTTTGATGTATTTAACAAATACAGATGTTCATTCCCATCTTGTTTTTATTTCCACCCATTTTAAGCTGATTTAGGGTTTGGGTTTTATTCTTGTGAGTTTCTTTGTTGTATGGGTGTTTTGGGTTTTTGTGTGTGTGTTCCTTTTTTTGTGTGTGTGTTTTGTTTGGGGTTTTTTTGTTGTTTTTGCATCCAGAAGGATGAGTGACTTCTCAAGAAACGATCTCATTAGCAAGCAGCAGCGGCCAGAGCAGTGACCTGGCTCCTGTAGTAGCAGTTGATTGTTGTAAAAGGTTTCGTATAAGTTGTGTAGTACATAAAGGAGGTTGGTGGAAAAATAATCACAAACAAACAAAAACCCACACTCTGAATACAGTCCTGTAATTCAAATAATTCTCCACAGAGGTCAGTGGAAAGGGGGCTAGTTTATTTGGAGATATTTTTTTTAAAACAGTTTCTTGTTATTGTATTAAAATTTAACTTCTACCTGCCTTTTTTAAATAGCATAAAAAACCCTGTAGAGTAGGATAAATCCACAGTTCAGTATTATTTCTGAATATATCCTCCTGTAGCTGTCTGGCTTATTGTGGACCTGGAAGTACTTTTTCCAGACTTGCACAGTTTACAAGTTCAGATTGTAAACTCAGAATTAATTAGATCTGAAATGGAAACTCGTGTGTTAATTTTTCTGTCACCACCTCCTGAAACCCAGTGAGTTCAAATGTTCTTTATGTCTGAATTAATGTCCTCCTTTTGCTTCAGTTCTGCTATTACTGTTCTCTTTAGAAGAATTTAAAACTTCTGTGAATAGAGTTTATTTTGCTGTAGCCAAGGCATGGTAATGAGGAATCTTTCTCAGATTTTCTAGGGCTTAAGAGATCTGTGATCACTTATTAAGTTCTGTGTAAATGAGACACATTGTAGAAATCGGCCTATTCTGTAGCTCTTAAAACTGATATGCCTTTTAGGGATAATGCCCTTTCATTCTTAGAGTTGGGAAGTGTCATGATTTTATCAGACCTGGCCATTGTTTTCCGATGTATCTAGAAACCTATTCTGGTTTTGACCTTGATATTTCCAGTATCTGATCCCATGATATTTTTTCAAGCAGATACAGAGATCAACAGAAGAAAGAGACAGTTTGTAATCCTCTGAGCCTCATTGGTAAAAGTATACACAATCAAAAAAACCAGTTGTCGCTAGTAGTGCCCTAGCAGGGCAGAACTTAGAGCAAAACCTTGTCAATCACAGCCTCATTTCTTTCTAAATCTGTGCTATAGAAACATTAACCTAAACCAAAATGCTTAAGTTATAAAACAAATGTAACTTTTTATGGAAGTGTGTGTTTTTGGTAGAACTGAGGGCTGTGTCATTATGGGTGAGACTGAAGATGAGTTTTTAAAAACCAACTTCCTACCCTTTTATCATGGTAACTGTTCCATTAGTGTTTTTTTGTATTCAGCTGCCATTCAGTCAGAATACTGTAGTACTTTAATGCTTTTATGAATACTCTTACTCTAATTTTTTCTTAGTGAAAGGCATGAGAGGAATGGTTTCTCTGCCCTATAGAGAGTATTACATATGAATCCTGTCATATTTTTTTGTGAAAGAAATATGTGAAATTGGTGGGCAAACATTTCATTTGTGTTCTTATTGATTATTTGAACCACTCATAATTTTATAAACAATATGAAATAAGGAAAAGCCTACTGTGTTGGGCATGGCTCAAAATCCAAGGCTCGATCCTTGGGCCTTTCCTAAGCATTTGTGTCATCAGTATCCACCTTCAAGACCGTACAGGTAAGAGGAGATTGACAATATGTTGTATTAACATTCACTACAAGTGAAGTTACTGTCTTAGGTACCTTCTGTGTCTTTTGCATAGAGCAGCCTTAAAAGAAAGACTGCGATGAGCGTGACTCCTGTGTGAGTTCTTTTATCACTTAATTCAGAACCGTTGTATCTCCTGAACATAATTTGATTCCTGTCATTGTGGAATTGTGGAATTTCAGATAAGCATTTGTTTTTAAATGTACAAGATTTATTTTTTTTCCTAAACTAGTTTGAATAGTATGGCAGAACAGCAGTCTGTAAACATTGAGGGAAGGATCCCATCTACTAGATTAGAATTTGTAGCAAGGGAAGACAGCCTGTAAAGTTCCAGGTCAGCAAATATCTAAGCTTTTCTAAGAAGTTCTTTTTTTATGTTAGATGTTTAAGTTTCTGACCTTTTTGACACCAACTGACACTAATATGTTGAAGTTGTACTGTCGGAACTACAGGCCTACTGCTACTGCTTGAACTACTACTAGTGTTTTCCTTTAGCTTTTCTGAAAAATATTTTTAAAGTTTATTTGTATTTTCTATCTTATCTTGCTTGATTCTGATCTCTTTGTAGAGCATAACCTTGTCATAAAGATCTGTGAGTTAATTTTTTTCATGTTGGTGCACAATGACTGGAAAGGCTGTTTGGGTAAACTAAAATGATTTGGTAACAGGATTCTGAGAAACCAGAGCTGAAACCAGGATATTTAAAAAATATTTTTGACTCTGGATGTTTTTGAAGACATTAGTAATGCACATTGTAAATGATTGTACATAAATAACTTTTTTACCTGTCAGTGCTTATGTTCAGTAAATACATAACTGCAGTTGTTTATTCTGCAGCTTTTAAATTGAAGAAAAAGTCCCTTCTCTTTAAGAACTACGAAAGGTGTTTCCTCTGTAATGGGTTGCTTTTATGCTGAACTTGTGAGGCTTTTGCTGTTCAGATGGAGTAGTACTTAATGGAAGTTCTAGGAATAGTTACCTGTATGAGGCTGCTCATGCCATGAACTGTAAATGTAACATTTTTAAGGGATGTAGATAAAAAGTAAAAGATGTTAATGACAGTTCTGTGAAAATTGGCTTGTCAAAGACAAGGGATTGAAACAGAGAAATTGTCAGATTTTCTTGTTACAGGTGCCACCAATTTCATTGTTCACGTTTGTGTGTTTAAGGTAAATCAGTAGAAACATTCCAAAAATCCTTTTGCAACTGAGCTCACCAAACTCCTGGAGCTTTAAATGATACTATTAATCTTGATCTTAATTAGCAGGGAATGTTAGCAGTGACTTTGGTAGGTAATTCATTGTATTAACAGAATACTTAGCACTGAGGCATACAAGCTAATAATATTTCAAGCGCTGTGTTTAACTTGGGGAATAAACATAGATGTGCCATTTTTGATAGCCCATTAAGTAAA